CATTTGGAGACTCTTCATCGACCACAACAGAGCAAGACACAGTGTTGTACATCTTGTTTTGGCAACATCTAATTTTCATAAAAATCTTAAATAGCCACAATTGTCCCCATAATTCTGGATCAATTTTACAAAAAAAACACATTTAACACAGTTATTCATTCGCTATTTCCAATATTTTTTCACTGAAGACTTTATTGTATTTGTGTTGTACTGGACATGTGCTTCAACTGAAATGCACATCAATATAATAATTTCCTTTAGCATAATTTAATGTGGAATTTCTGCCTTTTGGGTCAGATTTTAACTGTTTAATAAGAATTTATTCAGTTAGTGGGGATTCTGATAAAAACCAATTAACCAAGGCACAGTTTAAATGTGGGTGACCTCCATGTCAAATATTTAGTTTTGCGTTTCCCTGATTGTGAAGTTACATACTCAAAGTGGAAGTTATGCTTAAAAGGCTTATGAATTTATCTCAGAATTGATTCAGTAGTTTCTGTGAACAATACTCCTTGCTGTCAATGAAAACACTACAGTGCTCTGTGATTGTGGCAGAGAACAATGCCATCTTTTTGGTGTGAAGACAAACAAATAAACCACCAAGACTGGTAACAATTACCTATAGCTGTAGTCCCAACACATTATTCCCTCCCATTATTAACAGAGAATGGTAGAGGGGATTATAGTCTCACCAAAAACATAAAACGTGCATATGCACTCAAATGCAGTGTGTTATTCTGGTGAAGTCCTCATGATTTCTTATCAGACTCGAGAGATGAGAGGCAACAGCGAGCCATGAGAGATGTTACTGAAAGCACAAAGCAGACTTCAGAAGGCAAAGACAGACAGACGAGGAGAGCCGTAGACTGAGATCAATGATAACGTGATCTGATGACATAGTTGAGCGAGCTTTTCCCCTCTGGTGGTCTCACCATCGACCAACTCAGAGTTGAAGAGAGTGAATTTTGTTTGGATTTGCTTTAATCTTCCCATCAGACAATACGAGGCAGGCGGTATGCTGCAAGTGTTTTCCATTTCGCCACAAGAGAATTGTGTCAGGTTCCGCAAGTGCACAAGCACAGATACGTCAGCATGGCACATTGACAGGCAGCTTGTTCAAATAAAAGAACTGACAAAGCTCTGAGCGACTCGATTGTTGAAAAAAGTATTTACAGAAACACACGCACATGACAACAGAAAACAAAAACTAAGTGATTCCCTCTGCTGGTTCTCAGAAACTGTCTGTCCATGGTGCTGAAAGGATATATTTTCAGTCATTGAAATAGACATTTCATACTTTTTCCACTCCAAAGTTAATTACAAATGGTTGTAGAATTGTTCTATAATAATATTATAATAATAGTAAAATGTTAGCAAATGGAAAACATAAGCTTTTGTGACAGTGTTGCCTATGTAAAGTCAAGAACATTCAACAACTTGTGTGGAGCTTATCTTTGACAAATAGCATCATATGGTGCTGGTTGTTATAGACAAAATAGCGTGAAACCAGATGAGTGGTGCTTAGTGCAAGAGAATAGTTCAAATATACTAAACCATAGATACAAATGTGTTCTCCATCTATTGCATCTGTCTCTAAAGATTCCATGATCTGCCAGACATTTATCACTTTCTAAATGACTGTTTTTCGTGACAAATTGTACAAGAACACAGACCAGGAATCTACAGTCATGCTAGCAGCTTTGTGAGGCAAAACAGTTCTTTGAACTAACTGCTAACACCAGCATGCTAACATGCTTACAATGACAATACTAACATGCTGTTCTTTTGCAGATGCATTTTTTCCTATGTTCATTATCCTAGTTTAGCATGTTAGAATGCTAATACTTGCTAATTAGCACTAAACAAAGTACAGCTGAGGCAGCTGAGACTGGTGGGAATGTGATTAGTATTGTAAGTAAGTACAGCTGAATGTCTAAATCAAATGTCATGACAATTCATCCAATAGCTGTAAGAAATCAAAGAACATTGCTAAATCTGCGGCTGGCACTAGAGGTCAAAGGTCATGGGATCACTAGTTATTAGGATTCTTGGGGAGCATGGATGTCTGTACAACATGTCAGGGCAATCCAATAGAAATATTTCTGTCTGGACCAAAGGGGTGCACCAAAACAACCAAAACTGACACCCCTAAAAGCAACTTACATTATACTTTTACAGTCAAACTAAATTATCTTTTCTAATGGTGACAAAAAGGTAGAACCTTTATTTTACACCAATAATTGTTTGTCTCTGTTTCATGCTTAGTGCTGTGCCCATACGAAAATGCACACATTTGGCAAGGTTCTCTGTCCCTACCACAAAGATGAAGCCGTCTCCAAAGCAAATGCCCAACAGAAACCATAATAAAACATGTAAATGCCATGCTAAATGTAAAGATTTTTCCTGGCCATATAGAAGAAAATATTTACTTTTTGACATAACAATTGATGTTTCAGAGAGAAATTATTGCCAAGACGCTGTGTGACAGAGAAAGTGTGCAGACACAAAGATGTGACTGAACTCCAAAACTCCAGCCAGGAAATAGGGAGATGTCTGAGACTCTGTAATTACGTTTAAGCTGACCTGATGTTAAGTCTGGAGGTCTAATAACCAGTGTTTATATTGTGGCTACCAAATATGAACATGACAACAGTGGTGTGTTTGATAGACCCTGTGTTGTTTGAATACAACCAAACAGTATATATCATCCTCAAATTAAGTTCCTTATTAGTGGAGTTATGACAACATGATAGCCGTATAAATCTCAACAATGACCTGATCAGGTTTTCCCCTCGCAGAGCAAAGCATCTGTCATGAACACCACAAAGGATCTGAGGTGTATTTGTAGTTACTTGAATTATTTCTGACTACTGAGATCATTTTTGGGTCAGAGAGGACAGTCAAACAACTTTCAATCTTCTACCCTACACCTATTTTATCTGTCCCAATTGTAGCATTTATAGGTATATAAGTAGTATATTAATAAGTGTTTCCACTATAGTGTTGCTGCCATGGGTATAATAATATTTCTACCTTGGGCACACTTGAATTTTACATGATGGTGAAATGTTAGCAGAAAAAAAAGGAGCATAGAGGTTGAGTTGGACCAAAATATAAAGTCATAAACATGATCACCCAAGAGGGAAACCTTGTTTAATATAGTATAATAATAATAATGACAAACAATGCCCTACTATCACTTCTCGTAAAAGCAGGTCCAAAGACAAATCAGATCTGAATAGAGGTCTTTTATAGAGATAGGAAAGGAATATTATTTCATTATAATGTCTCAACCACACTTAACAATCTACCCACCCAATTATGGCGGGCGCCCAGGTTGCACTGTCACAGTAAAGTATGGCCTAGAAAGAGCCAAGAACTTTTATTGAGCTAATATTAATTGATTTGTCCTGACCTACCCAGACCTGGCCTCCCCGGGCTCAGCTTCCTCAGTGGAGCAGTGCCAAAGTCTGTCCTAACTCTGCATAAAAATAAATGAGAAGCTATGGGGCTAGTCTCTAAAGCCAGAGGATATTGTTCGATTTCACGTCAGCCCTCCAGGAGGCAATTTAAAACAAGCCAGCATGCTAATCAACCTGGTATAAAAGGCAGTTCTGGAGGGTGGCCCATTCTTCTTTTTTTCTATCTCTCCTATTGAAACCAAGGCCAAAAAAGAACCTTAACAATCTGAGGAGAAAATTGTAATTGGGCCTGTATCTGAAAGAGCATTTTACTCCAGTGTAATGTGATGTGGAAAGGAAGGTAAGTACTCTTACTTTAAAAGAATGGCCTGGCCAGTTAGGCTGGCATGCCATTGTCACATTTTTGTTTGTTTTTCAATCCAGGAAAAACTCAAACAAGCCCCTTTGGTGTAACAATCATCCCAGAAAAAATATGCTTACATAAAAACATGTTGGCATGGAAAAATCTTTACTCCACTGGAAGACAGAGCCAGGCTGTGACCTTCCTTGTTGCCATCAATGTCTCAGTGGAACCACATTGTGAGCCTCATCTGAGGAGGCAGAGCCCCGATCCCCACAAATAATTCAAAACTCTAATATCCCCATGGTATTTGTTGCGACCACAGAAATACGATATTGTTCATTCTCTGCTTGTGCTCTGAACCCACAGGTCAGGTGGTAGCAGATCACAGACTTCTCTGTGACTTGGAGGTTAAACTAATCACGCATGACTTTCTCACATGGCCCAACCAGTACATCTAGAAATCTACAACAGCTTGTCATCCAGCAGTGGGTGAACCTGCCTTTTGTGTGTCTACACCACTGAGCATTTTAATATGTCTGACTGCTGGTTTACTGTGTGTTTTGCTTTTGCTCACTAAATGAATGAAAGTTTCTACAACAGTCATTGTCTAAAATGCAATGTAACTTTCCATTTAAGTACAAACTATTTCTTTAAACTGCACCAACAACCTCTCTGAACTTCTCTGAATAGCTTTGACCCTGCACAGTCCCACACATTGCATTTATACAACTCATTATCATCACCCAAGAAATATCACAAATCTGTATATTTTAGACTTTAGATAAATGTTCTATCAACTCCTGTAAAGCCATATTTGACCATCATGTTATTCAATGGTGTCTTTGTAAAGCCTGCCGCTGTATAGGATGTCTTTCAACCATCTGTTAAGATCCTAAAAAAACTACTAATTTATAGTGTCTAAAAATCTGTCTCTGACTAGAGGTATGACACTGCCCCCTACTGATATAAAAATGTTCTTACAGTTACTTACCTATCACCTGTCAAGTATGTGTTATGGATTTGCTGTGCTTAGCTGTCAGTTCGCTAAGTATATCATGGCTCTGGAGCAACTAGGGGTAAAGTGTCTTGCTCAGGGACACATTGGTATATGTGTCACAGTGGGGAATTGAGCACAGGTCTCTCACACCAAAGCATGTGTCTTATCCACCATCACCACCCAATTTATATATTTTTTAAGTATTTTATAACAAAAAGACTGGAAATAAACAACTCACAAATCTCACACTGGCCTTTACTAATCAAACAATTCCCACACACTATCATCAGCAAAAACTGTGGCAAAAGAACAGTAAACAAAATACAAATAAAATCTGTAGTGTCATGGATAGTAATTACAAATAATTAATGAATAATCAATAATGACAAATATACACTGAGCTCTGAACAATTTCACCACAGCAATGCATTCACAGAAACAAGCTGGTCTCAATAATAATAAATGAGTGAGTGATTAAAATTAAATGTAAATTAAAAATTACATTTTTAAAAGTGGGTGCAGGGGTTACTTTCAAATGTGTGTACAGCATCATAACATAATTTTACACCTTTAATAAAGCATTTTGATTCTAAAATGGGCAAATGTCTGTTGTTTTTTACTTTTTACTTACAATATTTCCATTACACCACCAAGTAGTCCTTATGAGTAAAGTCACAATATGAGATTAATAAGAATAGTGGTTATTTGTGTTAAACTGTAGTGTCGCCCTAACATGTAGACTCAAAAGATGTAGCATGAGATTTATAAGTGCTAATGTGCTATTAAATTGATAAAAAAAATTTTGTCTCCCTTCAGCCTCATTCAGGCTCTCATCGTCTGGCTTTTCTTTTCTTGGGCACACTGTATCTCATTTTTATCTTCAGCAGTTTCACCCTCACTTTTATCTGGCTCTGTTGAGCTGCTGTCTGACTGCTGCTCAGACTCATCTGAGTCCTGCCTGGTCTTACCACCAGTATCTGGAGACTCTTGAAAGGCATATAACAAACAAGGACAAATAACCCATGTTGTGCAGCGCATTGGAGGCAGCCAGAGATGATCTAACAGGCAGGTAACTGCAGTTAACCAGCAGCAGTAAGTCAACCATGCACAAATAATGGTGACATCAGCATTTTTTTTCCCATTATACACCACCAAACCAGTCTATGAAGAGAGACTCTCTACTAAGAGCTAGAGGTCAACAGGAACACGCATGTGCCGCTGCTGATCAACACATGCAGGTGTTGACAATCAACCTCATCACTCATTCTTTAATACAGTTTCTCCCTGTGACATGTTTGAATCTTGCTCATGTACTTATCCTTCTGAACTGTTCTGCAGTACTGTAGTTTCTCTGTTGACCTGATCTGAGTTGGTATCTTTCTTGTGTTCACCAGTGGTGTCCTTTATGTCAAAGGGAAACATGACTGAGCAGGAGGTGACTATGCTTCCTCTTCATCATCTGTCTTTTTCTTTGACTCTGAAACAGACAGTAAAAAGAGTGAAAAATTAGTATAAAAAGTATAGAATTTTATTGTTCAGATGCTATCTTGGTTTAAAATCAATCGGGAGACATTTTCCAATTAGGCCACAGATTGCATTGACATAAATAAGCAATAAGGTGAAATCCTCCTACAGCACATGGTATGATTTTTATAAATTAAATTGAACTGTTAAAAATAAGAAATGCTGTTGTCGTTCTTAAAGGCTGATTATTGGTGGAGATCAATTATATTGTCTATGAGCAAGAGAATACTTGTACTTTTTCTATCTGTCATGATTATTATAAAGAATAATCAGTAGATAAATTAAACTACTGCAGTACCTCTTGCTATGCACTCCATGGTTCAACATATAAAATATTACATTAAGTTTACAATGCATGCCATTCCCTCACTTTTCCCAGTACAGTGAAAAGCATACAATGTATACTATATACCCCAAAGACTTCATTAATAATAAAAGATAATGTACCAAACTATTTTTTCTATTACTAATTCAGATTATTATTTATAACTTAGTTTAATAGTTTGTCCAAATTTATCCAAAACGAGATCCAAAGTCATTTGAATATATCAAAATATTTTATAAACTTAATACATCATAAAAGAAGTGTAAAACATAGAAATAAAAAATAAAAAAGTATCATCAAAAACATAAAATATTAAGAACAATGAAAAATTCAAAAAATACCTTAAGACTGAGAGGCAGGAAGCAATTAGTAAAACATGTAGGTTAATCCTAAATCTCAAAAGCTAATCTAATCAATCTTTCATACCATTAGTAACCTGAAGCTTAAAAGTTGGGTGACCAATAATATGTGATATAAATAAAACATCCCAAAACAGAAAGCATACATTCAGCAGCCTTTACTGTTAGCTGGCAAAAGACATCTAGATTTTGTTCATTTCATTTACCTAAGGAAACTAAAGTAGCCTAATATACAACAGTCAGTATGTTAACACTAACACTACTGTGCTGTTGTAGCACACACACTTAATACATTTCTTGGCATCAGTTTCTTTTGTATTTGCCTGAGTGTTGTGAATCTGGTTCAGAGAGAGCAGTTTCCAAAACTGGCTGTTCAGGCTCACTGAAGACCTCCAAATCCTCCTTGTCCGCCACACCAGCTGGTTCAGGTTCATTTGCATCTGCATCACCTTTGTCATCTATGAAGCAAAAATGACAAACACTTGCTGATTCCAGCTTCTCAAATGTGATGACTTGCTTCTTTTCTCTTTTTATATTGATAATTGAACACTTTTGGCTTTAAGACTTGGTCAAACAAAACAAGCTACAGTATTTGAAGATTTGTTGGAATATTATAAATAAAATGATTAATTATAATTAACTGATTAAAACAAAAAATAATAGATATAATAGATTAATAGATTTAATATAACAATAATAGATTAAATGATGAGGAAAATAAGCATTAGCTGCAGCATTAATTATAGCTGTTAGCTAACAATCCATTTTTGTTTACTAAAATAAATTACCTTTATGCAATTTTTTGTCAGAAATGTTTCCATCATTCTCAAACTGCTGTTTCCTTTGTTCGACTAACCCTGGAAAGACATTCATAACCAGATAAATGAATTCGAAGCACCCTTCACACCATGTATAAATTATAATAAATGATTTTCGTGTTAGTGTAACCTTTTGGTGGACTCATATCATGTGCTGAAAAAAAAAGGAAAAAAAGGAAGATATGAATTAGACAAGGAATGGTTTCTGGTTCAGTCCATAATACTTTCAATTAATTCTAATTAGTGAAACATGCCATTCCCTGAAAATATTTCAATTTCATCACTCTATTCTGTTCTGTACATATATGGTGCACAGTGCGAGAGCTTGTAGAACTGATGTGAGCACTTTTAGAATATGATGTGATAACTTGCAGAACAAAAATATGTACATGTAGGTTCAAATTTTCACTTGTATGAAATATTTACACACGAGATGAATTTGAAGTCACAGAAAGAAAAAACACGAGAGCTTGTAGAAAAAATCTGAACTTTCATGTTGAAATGTGACGTCAAAGAAAAAATAATATGAGTAAATGCTGCATTACCAGTTTCAGCTGTCACTGCATTTATGTAAAAATCAGTCTACACTTTTGTAAAAAAAAAAAATTTGTGACTTCAAATTTAGAACACGGGTGTGTGAATATTTTCTGAGTGAATATTTCAACATACAAGTACAGATTTTTTCTACAAGCTGTGTTTTTTTATTTATTTGACTTCAAATTCACCTCACAAGTTTTCACATCATACTGTACAAGTGCTCACATCAAGTCTACAAGCTCTTGCATTTTGCACCATATTCACCTTCATATGTATACTCCCAATACACTTACAGAAATACATATTCTATAGGATATTTATCATTAATACCTTTGGCTTTAGTCATTTGGCTGTGGCTGTTTTGTAAATAATAACAAATTAAAGTGAAAATGACACAATGCATAATGTTCTTTCACCATTATTTTCCCTTTCAAATTGCTTTAAACCCAGATTTTGCTACTATTGTAACAAACACACACACACACACACACACACACACACACACACAGACAAAGAGATGTTACCGGTGTTGTTAATCCCAGCATATCCTGCTGTAAAATGTGTTTAACTGCTAAATAGATGCACTTAAAGTAAAGTGTCGGCTCTGTCTTATTCCTGATGTTTACTTTTTATTTTTTATTTGTCTGAGTGTTTGTTTTTTCCTGTGACTATTCTGAATCTAGCTCAGATAGTGTCGTTTCCAAACCTGGCTGTACAGGAGCAATGGAGGATTCCAGATTAGACTGCGAGTCCTCCAACAAACCAGCTGGGTCAAGTTCATTTGCCTTCTCAGAGTCTGAGGGGTCACACTGTGGGATCTTTTTCCCAGCATCTTCACTGAGGTGGTCTGCATTTGCATCACCTTTGTTATCTAAACCTGAAACAGAAAGAAAAAAAAAGAAATTCAAGACCACGAATAAGACCAAACCATTCAGAAGCAGTCTTAGTAATTGGGAGTCAAACAATCCAGTAAGGAGCAATGTATGATGTTAATAACAATAACGTGTATAAGTTATAATAAATAACATTTGTGTCAGTGTAATCTTTTTGTGGCCTCCCATCTTGTACATCTAAACCATGTGCTGTAAAATAGAAAAGGATAAGAATTAAACAAAGAATGGTTCCTGGTTCAGTCCATATTAGTTTCGGTTAATTATAATTTGTGACACATGCCATTCTCTGAAATGATCTCAATTTCATCACTCTATTCTGTACTGTATACCCCCAAAATGTATATATATATACACACAAGTCACTATTATGTAAGTAAGCCCTAAAAGGCAAAGTGAGAAGATACAATAAAGAAATCTTAAATACCATTGGATGTTTGATCATTATTATTAATATTTAAAATGATTTATATACGAAGGTTGTATTTTCCACTCCCTGTCAGGACATTTAATCATGTGGCTGAGGCACAAGATAGATATTTTGTTTTGTAAATAATGACAAATTAGAGAGAAAGCCACCCAATGCATATGTTCTCTCACCAGTAAAGGTAATACCATAGTAATCAAGTTTTAAACCCAGGTTTTGCTGTTGTAGCACACACACTTAATACATTTCTTGGCATCAGTTTCTTTTGTATTTGCCTGAGTGTTGTGAATCTGGTTCAGAGAGAGCAGTTTCCAAAACTGGCTGTTCAGGCTCAATGAAGACCTCCAAATCCTCCTTGTCCGCCACACCAGCTGGTTCAGGTTCATTTGCATCTGCATCACCTTTGTCATCTATGAAGCAAAAATGACAAACACTTGCTGATTCCAGCTTCTCAAATGTGATGACTTGCTTCTTTTCTCTTTTTATATTGTTAATTGAACACTTTTGGCTTTAAGACTTGGTCAAACAAAACAAGCTACAGTATTTGAAGATTTGTTGGAATATTATAAATAAAATGATTAATTAAAATTAACTGATTAAAACAAAAAATAATAGATATAATAGATTAATAGATTTAATATAACAATAATAGATTAAATGATGAGGAAAATAAGCATTAGCTGCAGCATTAATTATAGCTGTTAGCTAACAATCCATTTTTGTTTACTAAAATAAAGTACCTTTATGCAATTTTTTGTCAGAAATGTTTCCATCATTCTCAAACTGCTGTTTCCTTTGTTCGACTAACCCTGGAAAGACATTCATAACCAGATAAATGAATTTGAAGCACCCTTCACACCATGTATAAGTTATAATAAATGATTTTCGTGTTAGTGTAACCTTTTGGTGGACTCATATCATGTGCTGAAAAAAAAAGGGAAAAAAAGGAAGATATGAATTAGACAAGGAATGGTTTCTGGTTCAGTCCATAATACTTTCAATTAATTCTAATTAGTGAAACATGCCATTCCCTGAAAATATTTCAATTTCATCACTCTATTCTGTTCTGTACATATATGGTGCACAGTGCGAGAGCTTGTAGAACTGATGTGAGCACTTTTAGAATATGATGTGATAACTTGCAGAACAAAAATATGTACATGTAGGTTCAAATTTTCACTTGTATGAAATATTTACACACGAGATGAATTTGAAGTCACAGAAAGAAAAAAACACGAGAGCTTGTAGAAAAAATCTGAACTTTCATGTTGAAATGTGACGTCAAAGAAAAAATAATATGAGTAAATGCTGCATTACCAGTTTCAGCTGTCACTGCATTTATGTAAAAATCAGTCTACACTTTTGTAAAAAAAAAAAATTTGTGACTTCAAATTTAGAACACGGGTGTGTGAATATTTTCTGAGTGAATATTTCAACATACAAGTACAGATTTTTTCTACAAGCTGTGTTTTTTTATTTATTTGACTTCAAATTCACCTCACAAGTTTTCACATCATACTGTACAAGTGCTCACATCAAGTCTACAAGCTCTTGCATTTTGCACCATATTCACCTTCATATGTATACTCCCAATACACTTACAGAAATACATATTCTATAGGATATTTATCATTAATACCTTTGGCTTTAGTCATTTGGCTGTGGCTGTTTTGTAAATAATAACAAATTAAAGTGAAAATGACACAATGCATAATGTTCTTTCACCATTATTTTCCCTTTCAAATTGCTTTAAACCCAGATTTTGCTACTATTGTAACAAACACACACACACACACACACACACACAGACAAAGAGATGTTACCGGTGTTGTTAATCCCAGCATATCCTGCTGTAAAATGTGTTTAACTGCTAAATAGATGCACTTAAAGTAAAGTGTCGGCTCTGTCTTATTCCTGATGTTTACTTTTTATTTTATATTTGTCTGAGTGTTTGTTTTTTCCTGTGACTATTCTGAATCTAGCTCAGATAGTGTCGTTTCCAAACCTGGCTGTACAGGAGCAATGGAGGATTCCAGATTAGACTGCGAGTCCTCCAACAAACCAGCTGGGTCGAGTTCATTTGCATCTGCATCACCTTTGTCATCTATGAAGCAAAAATGACAAACACTTGCTGATTCCAGCTTCTCAAATGTGATGACTTGCTTCTTTTCTCTTTTTATATTGTTAATTGAACACTTTTGGCTTTAAGACTTGGTCAAACAAAACAAGCTACAGTATTTGAAGATTTGTTGGAATATTATAAATAAAATGATTAATTAAAATTAACTGATTAAAACAAAAAATAATAGATATAATAGATTAATAGATTTAATATAACAATAATAGATTAAATGATGAGGAAAATAAGCATTAGCTGCAGCATTAATTATAGCTGTTAGCTAACAATCCATTTTTGTTTACTAAAATAAAGTACCTTTATGCAATTTTTTGTCAGAAATGTTTCCATCATTCTCAAACTGCTGTTTCCTTTGTTCGACTAACCCTGGAAAGACATTCATAACCAGATAAATGAATTTGAAGCACCCTTCACACCATGTATAAGTTATAATAAATGATTTTCGTGTTAGTGTAACCTTTTGGTGGACTCATATCATGTGCTGAAAAAAAAAGGGAAAAAAAGGAAGATATGAATTAGACAAGGAATGGTTTCTGGTTCAGTCCATAATACTTTCAATTAATTCTAATTAGTGAAACATGCCATTCCCTGAAAATATTTCAATTTCATCACTCTATTCTGTTCTGTACATATATGGTGCACAGTGCGAGAGCTTGTAGAACTGATGTGAGCACTTTTAGAATATGATGTGATAACTTGCAGAACAAAAATATGTACATGTAGGTTCAAATTTTCACTTGTATGAAATATTTACACACGAGATGAATTTGAAGTCACAGAAAGAAAAAAACACGAGAGCTTGTAGAAAAAATCTGAACTTTCATGTTGAAATGTGACGTCAAAGAAAAAATAATATGAGTAAATGCTGCATTACCAGTTTCAGCTGTCACTGCATTTATGTAAAAATCAGTCTACACTTTTGTAAAAAAAAAAAAAAATTGTGACTTCAAATTTAGAACACGGGTGTGTGAATATTTTCTGAGTGAATATTTCAACATACAAGTACAGATTTTTCTACAAGCTGTGTTTTTTTATTTATTTGACTTCAAATTCACCTCACAAGTTTTCACATCATACTGTACAAGTGCTCACATCAAGTCTACAAGCTCTTGCATTTTGCACCATATTCAACTTCATATGTATACTCCCAAACACTTACAGAAATACATATTCTATAGGATATTTATCATTAATACCTTTGGCTTTAGTCATTTGGCTGTGGCTGTTTTGTAAATAATAACAAATTAAAGTGAAAATGACACAATGCATAATGTTCTTTCACCATTATTTTCCCTTTCAAATTGCTTTAAACCCAGATTTTGCTACTATTGTAACACACACACACACACACACACACAGACAAAGAGATGTTACCGGTGTTGTTAATCCCAGCATATCCTGCTGTAAAATGTGTTTAACTGCTAAATAGATGCACTTAAAGTAAAGTGTCGGCTCTGTCTTATTCCTGATGTTTACTTTTTATTTTTTATGTCTGAGTGTTTGTTTTTTCCTGTGACTATTCTGAATCTAGCTCAGATAGTGTCGTTTCCAAACCTGGCTGTACAGGAGCAATGGAGGATTCCAGATTAGACTGCGAGTCCTCCAACAAACCAGCTGGGTCAAGTTCATTTGCCTTCTCAGAGTCTGAGGGGTCACACTGTGGGATCTTTTTCCCAGCATCTTCACTGAGGTGGTCTGCATTTGCATCACCTTTGTTATCTAAACCTGAAACAGAAAGAAAAAAAAAGAAATTCAAGACCACGAATAAGACCAAACCATTCAGAAGCAGTCTTAGTAATTGGGAGTCAAACAATCCAGTAAGGAGCAATGTATGATGTTAATAACAATAACGTGTATAAGTTATAATAAATAACATTTGTGTCAGTGTAATCTTTTTGTGGCCTCCCATCTTGTACATCTAAACCATGTGCTGTAAAATAGAAAAGGATAAGAATTAAACAAAGAATGGTTCCTGGTTCAGTCCATATTAGTTTCGGTTAATTATAATTTGTGACACATGCCATTCTCTGAAATGATCTCAATTTCATCACTCTATTCTGTACTGTATACCCCCAAAATGTATATATATATACACACAAGTCACTATTATGTAAGTAAGCCCTAAAAGGCAAAGTGAGAAGATACAATAAAGAAATCTTAAATACCATTGGATGTTTGATCATTATTATTAATATTTAAAATGATTTATATACGAAGGTTGTATTTTCCACTCCCTGTCAGGACATTTAATCATGTGGCTGAGGCACAAGATAGATATTTTGTTTTGTAAATAATGACAAATTAGAGAGAAAGCCACCCAATGCATATGTTCTCTCACCAGTAAAGGTAATACCATAGTAATCAAGTTTTAAACCCAGGTTTTGCTGTTGTAGCACACACACTTAATACATTTCTTGGCATCAGTTTCTTTTGTATTTGCCTGAGTGTTGTGAATCTGGTTCAGAGAGAGCAGTTTCCAAAACTGGCTGTTCAGGCTCAATGAAGACCTCCAAATCCTCCTTGTCCGCCACACCAGCTGGTTCAGGTTCATTTGCATCTGCATCACCTTTGTCATCTATGAAGCAAAAATGACAAACACTTGCTGATTCCAGCTTCTCAAATGTGATGACTTGCTTCTTTTCTCTTTTTATATTGTTAATTGAACACTTTTGGCTTTAAGACTTGGTCAAACAAAACAAGCTACAGTATTTGAAGATTTGTTGGAATATTATAAATAAAATGATTAATTAAAATTAACTGATTAAAACAAAAAATAATAGATATAATAGATTAATAGATTTAATATAACAATAATAGATTAAACGATGAGGAAAATAAGCATTAGCTGCAGCATTAATTATAGCTGTTAGCTAACAATCTATTTTTGTTTACTAAAATAAAGTACCTTTCTGCAATTTTTTGTCAGAAATGTTTCCATCATTCTCAAACTGCTGTTTCCTTTGTTCGACTAACCCTGGAAAGACATTCATAACCAGATAAATGAATTTGAAGCACCCTTCACACCATGTATAAGTTAGAATAAATGATTTTCGTGTTAGTGTAACCTTTTGGTGGACTCATATCATGTGCTGAAAAAAAAAGGAAAAAAAAGGAAGATATGAATTAGACAAGGAATGGTTTCTGGTTCAGTCCATAATACTTTCAATTAATTCTAATTAGTGAAACATGCCATTCCCTGAAAATATTTCAATTTCATCACTCTATTCTGTTCTGTACATATATGGTGCACAGTGCGAGAGCTTGTAGAACTGATGTGAGCACTTTTAGAATATGATGTGATAACTTGCAGAACAAAAATATGTACATGTAGGTTCAAATTTTCACTTGTATGAAATATTTACACACGAGATGAATTTGAAGTCACAGAAAGAAAAAAACACGAGAGCTTGTAGAAAAAATCTGAACTTTCATGTTGAAATGTGACGTCAAAGAAAAAATAATATGAGTAAATGCTGCATTGCGTCACTGGATTTATGTAAAAATCAGTCTACACTTTTGTAAAAAAAAAATTGTAACTTCAAATTTAGAACACGGGTGTGTGAATATTTTCTACGAGTGAATATTTCAACATACAAGTACAGATTTTTTCTACAAACTGTGTTTTTTTATTTATTTGACTTCAAATTCACCTCAAGTTTTCACATCGTACTGTACAAGTGCTCACATCAAGTCTACAAGCTCTTGCATTTTGCATCATATTCACCTTCATATGTATACTCCCAATACACCCCCAGAAATACATATTCTATACAATCAATATCATAAATACTTTTGCCTTTAGTCATTTGGATGTGGCTCTTTTGTAAATAACAAATTAGAGGGAAAATGACACAATGCATAATGTTCTTTCCCCATTATTGGAAATACAGTTCTTTTCCTATCAAATTGCTTTAAACCCAGGTTTTGTTACTATTGTAAATAAAGCACAATATTCAGCAGCCTTTACCGTTGACAGTCTTCCAGTCTGAATTGACATTTTCGTTGTGATCTCTATCCAGGCCATTAGGCTTCAAATTCCTATTGCTTTGTAGCAAAAGGCCAAGTGGCTGCGTAGAGGGAAGTGTGGGGGCTCTTTCAAGAAGACTCCTATTTTCATCACCCTGAGCTGTCTTCTCATCTGACCCTAAAACAGATTGAAATACAAAATAGAACACCAGTACGAAAGAAAGAGATCTTAGACGATATCACCTTTAAGTAAAACAGTCCATTAAACAGCGACCACATGATGCACCAGTATCCATCATTATGTATCATCAATATAAAACAGTGGGTGCTTGTTCAGTGAGTGGATTATGACTTTTGGAAGTGTTTCTTAACACAGCAAGATAGGCCAAAAGGTTTCTCCAAAAATCTGACTGATCTAGATGCAACTCATTACACGTTTGAAAACATTCTCTCTTACTTTTTTAAAATTAAAATGATTGTGTAGCTTCGGAGGTACGCGCTTATGTGCTAGTGCTTATCTGCAACACTCCCTGTACACAATGAAAAAACTAAACCAGTCAAAATTAAACTGTTACACCCTTTATGTTTTTTTTTCATTTTTTGCTACAAGAAACAAAGTCACTATGCTCATCTGGTAGCGATTTACTTTAATGACTACCTGGTCATCGTCTAACCTTCCATTTTCTGTAAATTACAAAAAAATGAGAGAAAATAGGAGAACAATACTCCTGAGATAGACCACTGAAAACATACAGTATCATACCTTTTGTTGATGGGTTTTCTGAATCACCTTTCTTTCTTTTTGCAAAACATGCTGGAACCGAGAGTGAGAGGACAGAAAAGAAGAAAGAAACAGTATGTTTTTGTTTCATACATTGTGAAGATCCCCACGACCCTGTATGCAGGATAAGCGGTTGATGATGCATGGATAGATGGACATTGTGAAGATTAGATTCACTAATAACAGCTGCTGGTGTGCAATGCACATGTGTGTACTGCACATACATGGCTTACGTACTATTACATTTAGTTTAACTGTTAAACATAGCTTTACAAATACATGGAAATGAATATAGTGAATATGAATACAGTGAATATATACTGTATAGATCATCTGGTTATGGTGAAACTTTTTGAACTGTACCTTTATGGCGTAGTTTGCAATACACTATGGCTACAACGAGTAGAATAATTACAACGATGGTGAGTACGCTGGCAATCAGTGCTGCAGATGAACTTTTGTCTGCACAGAAACACAAAATTCAAACTTGTAGCAACTTCTTATTACATTATATTACTAAGGAGATGGCGCATATATCATTTGTGTGTTTCATTTTTATTTAAATTTTCTGTCACCACTGGTAAAAAAAAGATCAAAGTTCAGCATTATTGTCAGTGCAGCAGTGCATGCATTATTTCTTAATGAAACCCATGACTTATGGCGGGTAAATTATACAAATGTCCTGTGTAAATCAGTTTCTGAAAGTACTTGAAATGACAACTTCCACAACATAAACAATAAACATACAGTAAAGCTGATGCCTAAGTAAAGTCTTACCTGGGTAACAATCCTTTGCAGTGTATGTAGCTGTTTCATTGCTCAGAGGGTTGCTCACCCTACACGTGTATATTTCATCATCATGTTTATCTCCCAGAGATATTGTGAAATTTGGGCCAGGCTGCACATGTCCATGTGAATCCCACTCCAACTTCATTAAGGACTGAGGCTGTCTGAACTCGGCAGAGCACACTAGCGTTGCAGAGCTGCTGCCATCTTCCATCTCACAGGATATTCTGGGTGTGGCAACTCGGTCTATATGAAAACACAGATGAAAATGAATCCATGAATACAAACCTAAATGAGAAAATAAATGATTCCCTTATGTCACATGGATGAACCATTACACATCAATGCTTTAAATGGCATAAAGTCCAGAAAGAACAAGTTATTGCAAAAGTTATAATTATAAAGACTGAATAAAGAATGCTTTGTGGGGCTTCCATATGACAAGATGCAAATCTCACCAAATGGCGGTCAATTGGAATATTTAATAACAATTACAGTACTTTGTTGTGTTAAGTGTGGGTGAGACAACGTTTCAGGTGAGAAGAAGATTCTGATCAGAAAGCGACAGTTCCAGCATGCAGCCTGAAGAGGTCTAAGATGTTTCTGATACTGCTACTCTGTTTACAGTACATGATGATGTATTGTGTTTTATAAAACACTACAAATACTACCAATTTCCTTTATTGTCTTGTTTCAAAAGACTCAATAAAGGCTTGACTCCCATGATGAAATTAACAACTTGAAACACAGACAATGCTAAAGGCTTAGTGGCTATAAATATATTCCCCACTACCACACCACAGGTTTTATTGTTTTAGTGTGTCACATGGTTTGACACTGATTAACATAAATGTATGCCCCACCTGAAAGGTTAATATTTGATAGAGGCACCTTTTGTAGCAGAACAGGCTTGACTCTGTGTGTCTGTATCAGCCTTCCACATTTGACCACTGCAATTTCCCCCCACTGTTTGTTGCTTAATGTTACATATTCTAGCTAGATTGCTCCTCTGTTCTCTGCAGCAGGTTTTCCTCAGGATTTCTGTCTGTTGCATTATATTTCCCCGGAACCATCCTCTATATGTTTCATAGTCCCTATTGTCCTCTGGAAAAGCCTCCACACCCTCGGGTTGTATGTTTTTTAGCCACTCTACTATAATATTATATTGCAACTGGTAAAAGAACTGAGCAACAGTTGTTGTATGCATAGTGTCTCATATTAAATGCATTGAACTCTGACAATTAAGACGTTTTCTGAATCAGGCTAAGTGTATCAGTTTCATCCATTGTAATGCAAAGTTGTAAAACAATAAAACAAGGGCAAACCACTATTTTGGGCCATTGGGAATCTATCAAGGAATAGGATCTCCTTTTTCCTTTACTGCAGGTAGTGTATTTTCTTGCGTATGTTGGTTTTAATCCGTGTTTCTCCAGCTCCGGAGACTCTGGCAAGATGAGAGGAGGCATACTTTTCTATCGATGATGCATGGTGCATCAGAGTGGACACTGTTTCCCAAATGTCAGACTTTTATGTTCTGTTAAGTTCTGCGTGTGTGGCTAAACAATTTCTTTCTGTTATACACCATATCTTTATACCTTCATGAATTCAAAGATATGGAATTGCTATAGCAACACATCAACTTCCAGCTGCAGAATGCAGGTACCAATGTTCATCAATTAACTGTATACAACCACTATGTTAAAAAAGTTAGTAAAAAAAACTTACCAATGACCTCCAATAGAAAAGTTGAACGTTTCAACTCTTGGTTTATGTATGCTTCCAATCATAGTATCCGGTGTCTTCATATCTGAGTTTAGCGATATTGAGCTCTGCAGAGATCCAGTCAAGAGTGATCCTTTTTTCATATGGGTGGTACACCTGTTCCTCATTGCCATTAAACTCTACTACTTTGTTGCCTTTATATTTCCACAGAATTTCCTTAGGTTGTCCAGTGATGGCTGGCTTGAAGTTGACCTCCTGCCCCTTGAGCGCATATATTGGAGACTGTCCAGCAACTAGACACAGAAACATAGACACAACTCAAGAACTCAGGAATACACATCTGATAAAACTGCCAATTTATCAGGTACACAATCTAATATAATCCAATAAAATCTAAAAGTTATAAGGTTTAGTCTTGCCAACACTGCGCCAGGCTGTGATCGGGGGTTGATCGGCGATCACCAGTCCTTATGTGTGAACAACTCAAGGATGCATCAAAATGGCTCCCCGACACATTTCTGACACATCGCTGATGTCTGCCAGATATCTAGCATGCCAAATATCTGGCGGACTCGACATCCACATCCAGTCAATGAGAGCAGGCAGCTACTTTTTCACCGCAAAACACTTTTTACTCCCCTCCAGCTCTCTGTAGCACAGACAATCCCTGCTACCTGAGTGTGCTAATCCATTCTTTTACACAGATTTTTTGTCTTTATAATTTGTATCTTTATAATAACAAACAACAGATGTGTAGATTCACGTCATTTTCCATTTCCGTTTCACATTTCACGTGTGTTTTCTTGACAAAACGTGGTTTGGAGACCAGCCTGGGGTGACAGAGTCGCTGTCAGCTGGTGTAGTGTGTGACCACCTATCACCTATCAGTCAGGTAGTGTGAATGCCACAACGACTTCAAGACTCCTGTCACAAGACGGCAAGTTATGTAGTGTGAACGGCACGGCCATCGGCCGACGCTGATAATCGCGTAGTTTGCACAAGCCTTAAGTTTCATTTCTGTCGTCAGATTGAAGGAGAGAAGAAGAGTTTGGTTTGGCGGAGGCGCTCTTTATCGGCCTCTGCTGGCGTACCGTAGGAGCTACACAGACATCCAGGAAATGTACAGATTCGTCTCGTCGAGATGAACAAAAAGAGCCTTTTAGAAGTTCTGTTCTCAAGCTGTGGCCTGTAAAGCATGGGAGCATGCATTGGTCACAGGAATATTGACTGTTTTTATCAATATTTCAATGCTTTGGAAGCTTTATGTTATTGGGAATGTGGTTGTATGGAGAGAAATAATATCTTGAAGATTATCCCAATAAAAGTGAACATTTAAACAGTAAATATGGCCAAAACATGGACATTCGCCTGGTATGTTTTTGAAAGATTGTGTAATAACGGTTGTATATTAGTTTCTTTTCATCAGATTTACAGTTACAGTTGTATTCCAGGTGCATTATAATTTACCTTATGATGGTTTTGATGGTTTATTGCTTTAAAATATAGCTTTTTTTCTGTATTTGATCTCCATGTAGTCTGTTATGGTAAAATAAATATGTTAATGTACAATGGATTTATGTTCCTTAGCTTCTGACCTTTCAAAGGAGACCAGAATTATGCATCTAGGGCTAGTGGTTGAGGAGCTATTACTGATTAATTTTGGGTATGTTATTTTAGGTGTTTTTCCTGGAAATAGGTGCTAGGGTTCGTGTGTAAACACCTTTTAATATACTGTATGTGTGCTTATTTGTTCTTGACCAAGGAAATAATTTGTGGTTTGACAAAATATTTTTGGCTCATGGTCTACTTAACAACCTTTAATGAGGTTTCAATTATATTTAATCAATTCAATGTAATTTTTCAAGCAACATTGCCAAATATTCCCTTGATTCTCAGAATTATTGTTTCTCTTTGTTATGTGACAGTAAACTTAAGTATGTAGCATGTAGTATAATTGAAGTTGTGTATGTGGTTTAGTATAAGCTGAAAACTTAAGGTAAGTCAATTTGGATACAAAGTTGTAACACATTAAAAAAAACACAAGTATTAGGCTTTAATTAGTTGTATTTCTTGGTCTTCCTTCCCAGGTCAAAAAGAAGTGCGCTTAAATGCATTGAAAATGTACTAGAAATTCACATAGTATGCTTATAGTACATTCATACTTCTAACATGCTTACTAAAAGTATATTAAAGATATATTCTCCAGAGCTTTAACATACTTCTCTTATATACTTTGAATAAATTGGTAATAAATATATACTTAATTAAACTTTTAATAAATATGCTTAAATAAAAGCATATTTTTCACAACATTTTAGTCTACTTATTAAAAATATTTAATTTAACTCTTAGTAAATACTATTTAGGTGTACTTTGTGGAAGTACATTGTTAAACAATTACACTGGGTTACAAATATATTTATGCCAAATATGCTAATTGTGTAGGCTACTGCAAAATATTGTAATTATTTATGTAATTGCCACATGTTTCAGACTGATTTCCAGAAGGAAAACTAAAATATATATTTTTATATTTTAATATTTAATATTTTTTTAACATTAAAATATATTTTTCAAAATCAGGTAAATAGCTAGTTGAGATCAGAGTTCTCTTCCATAAGGGTAACCTGGCCAAGAAGGAAGCAGCACATGTTGTTAACTTAACAAACAAACAACAACGTATAGTAACAAGCATACTTTAAATCATAATGTAGTTATACTTGTTTCTGTGTGTAAACAGTAAACACGTGTACACAGGGGGGAAGTGTGCCCTCCCGCCCAGCCCACTAGCACAGTGCCAGAGCCCTTTAAAGGGCTCCAGTCACATCGCGTGAAAGTCCGCTTCACGAAAGATAATGTGTTACTGTATTTTTGGCCAGAAATCATTTTGTTTCTTAGGTTTCCTTTAATTTACTTAATACGTGGGTTGAAAAGAGAAGCTGCAACAATGTGCAGTATGAGAAAAATATGGTGTTTTTTCAAAATTAAACCATGTAAACCTGTTCTGGTACAACCCCTAATTAAGATTTTGAACCTGAAAATGAGCACAATACCACCTCTTTAATAGCTTCATAATCGAGACAGCAACTTTCGTCTGCCTTAAACAGTGTTGGGAGTAACACGTTACAAAAGTAACGCAATTAACGTTACTGTAATGTATTGATTTTGCTGTAAGGCAGTTTTTAATGTTACTAAAATTTTGGTAATGTAAAATCTCAGTAACCCTGTTGCTGGAATTTGATGCATGAGATTTTAACAAGGCAGGCCTGTGAATGTGTGTGTATGAGCCTTCAATTCTGCTTTTGCACTGTTAAAATGACCAGTGAGGTCTTTATCAGAGTAATAAATGCTAATATGCTGCTGTCTGTGTGCTAAAGAATAGGTTCACATTTTTATAGTCTACCTTACTTACATGTCCATGTTTACAGTAAATTATTGGTCACTATAATCATTATTCCTGCCCATATAGTCTGTAAAGACATCACCACAGTTGTCATTTTGGTTTAAATTCATTCTAAAGGTACACTGTTTTTTAGAGATTTTTCTTCACTGCAACCATGGAGGGGGTAACGTTAACCATTACAGTGACCAATAACTCTGTTATAACAGCAATGTTAAAGTGTACAAGGGTATGTGAGAATTGTTTTAGTATATAATTATAATGTTTTTGTGTCCTGAAATGGCAGACTACACAATATAATAAAATGTGATGTTGTATGAAATACTGGTCAACTTTATGTCCATTTGTATGGTCATAGATCCTGTAACTTTTAAAAGTTGAACCTACCCTTTGCCAACTTTAAACAACTTAATGCTAAACCCAGAGTTGGAACTTCCTGCCTTAGCTCAAGAAAATTAAATAAAGAATAATAATAAAGATTTGCTATAAGAACAGAATTACAGTGTTTATAATGATACGCAAATGAAGAACTAAACTAGGTGGAAGTACTGGCCTAACTGAATATTTAAACTCATTTGCAACTGCATTTCTTTTCTTTTAGAGCTTCCTGGGATTGTTGCCTCACTCAGAGGGCTTAGAGGCCAGGAAAATCTCAAAGGACCAGCTGGACCCTCACAACAATGTGCTCATAGGTATGTCTGGCTCCTGCACACCATTACTGTTTTTGCGCTCACTACATGTCAATGGGGTCAGACTAAATAAACAAATATTCTTGAGATAAAATAATTATATTAAAAATATTGTTATACATTAAGTAATTGGCTACTTTTGTACTTCACAAATTGACTGCTGTGTTTATGTGAAATGACATGTAGACAGCACAGTTGTTAAGCAAGTTTGTGTTATTTGTTGTACCTGTTTTATAACCTTTTATCATATACAGCTCCTTGGCTGAATGTACAGTAGTGTTTATGTAATGTTTTTGATCACGTTGTAATGGAAGAACTGAGCATTAACTGGGAGGGGTCCCTTGTGGAAAACCATTTCACCTGAACCTAAACGGTTAGCATCATCAGAACAGTTAGACATGAAGTTCTTATTGTGTTTCAGCAACTTTAAACAAAATAAAAAATCACACAATGGTAGTTAGTTAATTAGAGGTAATATTGCTTTGATATAAACAAAATATTTCTTTTTCCCTTCCACAGATGCTGTGTGTTAAAGCAGTTTCCAGAAGTGGCACATATGGTGTCAAGTGGCACAGTTTGCCATGAGGTCATCTGAGGCGTGCCCAGTGTCCAAACCGCATGAGGGACCCCCATGGGTAACATTAATGATGGGATGTGTATAGTGTACTTTTCAGTGATACTGGTCATATGTCATCATTTTACTGATTTTATTTTATTTGATTATTTATTTTGCTCAAGATGTGTTAAATGCTGCTGCACCTTTTAATGTACAGGAATTTATTTTTGTAATGTACACGTTTTACAAGTTTTTAGTTGTCTGTATGTGTGTGTGTTGTAAAATACTTTTTTTTAACTGATTTTTATTAAAAAGAGCATTTTGCAAGATATTTTTAATGCATTAATAATGCATTATTCTCATACTGAATGGTTTCATAAAGAAGCTTCCCAAGATATTAACAGTGGCTCTTGGAGTATACTAGTAATAAATTACTAATACACTGAAATGCTAATAAAAATGTTCAGAGAACACATTTAAAATATATTTAAAGTCTTCAAGTTTAGCACAAAAGGGTATTTCAAGTTCATTTTAAAGAAGTATATTTAAATTACAGTAAAGATACTTAAAATAGGTCCATTTTAACACAACTAAGTATATTAAAATACATATATTGCAATTATCTTAAAGTTGAATAAGTATTTCTAAAATGACACTTAACATACTTTAAGTTGTTCTAAAACAACACACTTAATATACACTTAGTATAGTACAATTAAAATATGATAAGTGCATCCAAATAAAGTGCTACTTAAGTATATTTCTTTTTCACCTGGGTTAGTATTCAGAAGTAATGCTGTATTCCTATAATAGCCTCAGTTAGGCTATAAATCAAGAAGTATTAATCAATACTATTTATTAAATAGTATTTGAAGGAGTTCAGAAACATAAATCAGTACTAACTAATGTATACCACTGGCATACTTTTTATTTTATTTGTATCTGCTGTGAGAAAATATGGACTTAGGAACTCAACTTTGGATAAATCATTAACATCTCGGTCAGGCCTGCCAGAAGGTCTGAAGTGTAGTTTTCATGCCCACACAACAAGTTCAACAAATCAGCATAAACATAAAAAAAGAAAAACTCACCTCGGCAGGAGGTCAAGATGAAAAAGGACATGAAATAACGAGCCATTTCAGAAAATCAGAACAATACGCTGCGCTGCCTTAGCATTTTCTTTCACTTTCTCTTCGAAGGTGTCTTGTACCTGTGGCCCTAAACCGGTCTATCTCGTCCTTTCCAGTAGGAGTAAGTCGAAGAGATCATGTTGATACTCCTTCTAGCCTTTCGACAGTCGAGAGTAGGCCTACCAGCAAAGGTTAATATTAAACAGGCGTGTCAGGTTGACACCTCCTCAAGCATGAGTGCTTTCAGTCTCTCCACATAGCCTGCCTCTTTCGTAGAGTAAAACTTTCAGTCTGCACCGACAGGTTTGATTAAGGTGTGGCATAGTTTTGTAGGCACCGTTTATTTTAATAATAGTATATTTACCAACTTTAGTATTGAGGCGACATCACATTTCTCCATATCAGCGTTTGATATGACGATTTTATAACTTTCATTACTGTAACCTTGATGCCAGTCTGTTGTCTCAAAATTTACCAGAAGCTCGACTGAAAAGTCGGTTACCTGGTATCATCCCGGATTCATTTCTTGTTATGGTTGTGTCTAAAGCTGGAATGTAAGGTATCAAGATTCGAAAAATACCCGTCAGTACACTAGTAGATGTATAAAACCAGTGGTCTACTTACAGTGATTTGTTTGACTCAAAGGTTGTTACAGTGTGCGGAAATAATTTCTGTTTTAGATGAAACATAATAAATGATATTCATATTATTATTAGTAGTATTTGTTTGAATAAAACACATATTTATGTTCACCACTTGATGGCAGTGTTCACAGGAGAATAGACAAACTGTCACAAAGACATGGTGTCTGTGTGTGTGTGTGTCTGTGTGTGTGTGTGTGTGCGTTTGTGTGTGCTCGCGCGCACGTGTGAATAAAAATCAGCAGGTGCTAGCCTATAGGGCTTCAGTTTGGTTCCTCAATGCAATGAAAGTCACACCTATAGTGTTGATATGCATATTTTCAGTTATTAATATGGATTTATGTAATTTATCACATCCATTCCGTCAGCAACGTTTTACAGCATAGCACGTTTTTGTATTCTTTATGTTAATGATTTTTAACTGTAAAAGCCTTGAAACATTGTATTTTGTGGTATTCAACCAATTCTGTGTTCATCTATTATTACTGTTATAAAATCAAGTTTCAACAATTGCTGCTGTAATATAACATGGCTGCTATTGACCAACTCCTCATATTTAAAAGTGTCATAAAATTAACATAGTTATGTACACAAAAACAATCCCCCTTTTCATCACTCTTTCACTTTTCCTTTTCAATCCATTCTTTCATCAACAATAATGTCCTCCTCACAGAAGCATGTGTCATTGGCTCTCTGAAGTAGGTGTTATTCTGTGTATGTGTGTGTAGGACTTCATGAGTGTCACACTGCCATGGTGCGACACGCCCATAGGTAAAACACACTCCTCCGTCAGCACTCCCCGGCCAACGTCCCAGCACATCACTGTGGAGATAACTTGGTTCTTGTTGTCCCGTCCCCAGTGATGAAAAGTTTGTTGTTACAAGCGGCGATGGCGCAGCTTGCCCTCTCCCCCAGACGGGTCACAAGGGACCAGGAGTCTGACAGAGGCGAGTAGCGGTACATGGCGTGCATGGCACCCCCTGGAAGCAGACAGAGAATGAGTAATTTAATTGTAACATAAGGTTTTTACATATACACATACACTTCCCATTTATTTACTGTATATGCAAATCCGTTTCTCAAACAATTTACCAGACAGATGAGCACATTCTTGAAAAACATTCAGCATTTGCAAGAACAGATTCATGCCATTCTTAAAAATTAATAACCAAATACCAGTTTGATTGATAATTCCCAGAGAACACACACAAAAAAACATTATTTAGAAAAATAAATAAAAACAGAGATACCTGTTTTTGCAAATGAACTCTTAATGCCAGAGATAATTTTTGAAGAGTTGGTGTCTACACTACTTTTTCCACACTGTGGTCATCTCATTTTGAAATGAAACCCTTCATATATATATATATATTTTTGGCAACAAACACTTAACCATACTCCAAATATAAATCCACCAATGTACAGTGATGGAAGAAGTATTTAGATCCTTTATTCAAGTAAAGGTATAGCAATATAAAAATAATTATCCTGCAATTTCAGTAGAAGTTCACAAGTCATTAAAATGTATTTAAAATATCAAAATATGATAACACAGATAAATGCCCTGTGAATGAATATTATTTGTGTGAATTACTATTCATCTGAATGTAGCATTTCACGGTTTTAGTTGGTTGAGGTAAAGCTATGTATATCTATTTAATATACTGCATCACATTTTATAAACTCCTATGTTTTGTATGTAAAGTTTTAAATTGTAAAGTAACTAGAAACTAAAAAGATCAAATAATTGTAGGATTAGTTGGAAGTAGAAAAATCAGCATGAAATGAAAATACTGTACTAAAGTACTAATACTTAAAATTTGTCCTTAAGTACTGTACTTAATTAATCACAACCATCAACTTACCAACTATATAGATGCAGTTGTTGAATGTGACTGCATTAGTGCATTTGGTTTCGATGGGAATGGGTGCCCGTAGTTCCCAGATGTCTGTCCCAGGTTCCCAACACTGGACCTGATCAGTTGCCAGCTTTCCATTTGGCCCGCCACCAATCACATAGATCCATTTGTCAAAGCTTGCAGCTGCAAAGGAGCTCACACCGACTGCAAGAGGAGTCACCTGCAAGTACAGCCAGAAGGGCATTGAAGTAAGTATATGGAGCACAGACAAACAGGCATAGCAGGATATACGTGATATTAAATATTGTTTAAAGCAGTACACTTTATGGAGCATCAAATGTACAGTATTTAACACCAAATGTACACAAAAATAATACTGTAATTAACAAGGTTATAATGGAAAAGTGTTCAGTGTTAAATAAATAATTATAATTACAAATAATTACATCACAAAAATTGTGGAAATTATATAAATGAAACAATAATTTGTGAAGTTATTTAAGAAATTATTCAAAATCAATTGAGTTTTAAAGTTTTAAAGGTCTTCATTTTCATTTTATAATAATTATAATAAATTTTTCCCAAAAAGCTTTATTCAGTATTGAGTGACATGAAATATGTTGTTATGAAATGTAAACGCAACATTGACACCTCCTCACAAAGTTGAAATTGTGAAATCAAATGATTGTTAGCAAACAGTTGCCTATTTCCACATCTAGCAGACATGACACAACATTAGGATTCATATGGAGTTGTGTTTTTTGCCACCTGATAAATGTAAGTGCAGTATTAATTCTCCTTGTAGCTCTGTTTTGGTCTTCCCTTGATGGATGTATTTGGCTCTTTAGCTGCCAAATGCACTACTCACCAGCTAGTCACTAACTTTGTGTGGAGAGCGGAGAAAGGAAACTAGTAAAGTTATGGGATATGAAACTATAACAATGAGCTGAAAAACGCTCTGTAGTTCTCAGTGGAACTGCAGATTAGGGTTATAATTCTCTGTTCTCTACCTTCCCTCACCTTTCACATACATGAAATTATTGTTATTTGGAAAATATTAATTATGGCCGCTTTAAGGAACATTTGGTGTAAAGTTACACAAAGGTAACACATTAATATAGCATTCATGTTTACCTGTGTCCAGCGATTGTGAAAGGGATCATAGGCCTCTACGCTAGCGAGTCTCTGAACTCCATCAAATCCACCCATTACATACACCTTCCCCCCATGGACTGCCATCTTGTGTCTCCAGCGCCCAGTCATCAGACTCTCAATCTGGATCCACTTGTCCAGGGCGCCATTATATTTCCAAACATCATGCTGTGTCTCTTTACCTCCTGCAACAACAGGATCATTTTAGAAAACATATACAGACATTTGTCCAAGAACACTGATGCAATTACTAAATCTGTGCTCTACATTGGGCCACCCACAATTCTGATTCAAGATGTAAAATCCCACGATCTATTCTGAACATTCACAGCATACGTGTCGCTGAACAACTAAAGTAACCATGACTGAGGTGTCAGTTCCTAAATTGGGAAACACCTAAAAACCACATGAACTTTTGCTGCAGATGGTCTCACGTCTTCATTTTGTTTTGTTCAGTGGAACACCATGGATTCACTGATTAAAACAACATCACATTTAAATATCAGAAGCATAGAAACATTTACAACAACCTGTTTACATGATGAAGATCCAAGGAAAATTAATACTCGATGAGAGGACATATAGAAACAATAACTTGGCAGATATATAAACAGTAGGTGCTGAACAATTTCCCTTTCACCTATACATATCACAGCAACTAAGCCTTCTCTCACCAGAAATGTACACTTCATTGCGGAAAGTGATGCAGGCAAACTCCACCCATTTTCTGTTTTGGGATTCGTCCTCCATCTCTGTGATTGGAAGCCTGGCAACCTCCAGCCTGCTGCGTCTAAGGGGGTCCAAACAGGTGACAGTGGAAATGAAGCGTTCATCTTTAGTGCATCCTCCAATTATCAGGAACACCTCTGATAGAAAGTGCTGCACGCGAGGCTTGGTTCGTTCAGAGACCACCTATAAATGTGTTATACATGTACAAACCACAGTAAACAATAAAACAATGACACACAGCAGTAATTGTATCATAAAATCAAATACCTGCAAAAAAGGAGTTTGTAATATGGAATATTTTATAGGATAGTAGATTTTGCCAGTAACGTTTCCAAAGCAGCATGCTAGGATTTTGTAAAATAACATTAGTTCCCTGTATACTGACCTCCCTGCCGGAGAGGTGATAGGTGCGGGCCTCTTGCAAAAGAGGAAAGGCCTCACTGCAACGGCGAATCAGTTCATCTGATTCCACTTTTTCAACAAAGTACGCAGGCTCCAACAATGGCAGTCGCACATGTGAAAGCAACCTGGCCAGTAAAGGATAGCGTTCATCCTGCTGGGCTCTCACCCAGTGCATGAGTGCCTCAAAAACACACTCCTCACACTTCACATCAAGGTCGTCCCTCTGCAGGATCACCTCCAGTGACTCTGCTGGCAGCTCCAGGAAGTCCTGCTGCTGGACTACTTGGGAGAACTGAGAGGTTATGTAGTCCTGAGCCCTGGTCTTCAAAGCCGGTAGGGCATGGTTTTCAGCAAGATTCAGGATCCCAATACAACTCTCTAGGTGCAGAGACTTGCTCATAAAGGCAGCACATGCATCCACCACACGCAGAAACTACAAGAGATAAGGCCAGCATATAGGCATTGAATACAATCTCAAGCTGTCAAATGAGTGAACATGCTGATGTGCATGCACAGGGTTTCTCAGACGTTGATAAACAGATAATGCTACACGAGATTTTTAAAAATGATTAGTAGTACTAGAATTTCAAAAGTGTGCATAACTAAAATAGACAAGACATTGCCTTAGAAACCAGAAAGGTGCCACAGGCCATACAAGTTTAGAATTATTGCCCTAACTCTTAAAAATAGCCAACATATTTTTTATATCTTCATCACTGTTTTACTATTTCATTTTGTGTTTTGCTTAATTTTTTTTCTTGTAATCTATGTATTTTAGCAATTTTATTGTTTTTCTCTATTTGTTTAGCAATAATCACTTAAACCCTATTTAGAAAAGTGCTATGCAAATAAAGTTAATATTATTACAGGCATGTGTGCTCAATCAGTACCCTTAATCTTAATGTGATTGTAATTCTAACCTCAATCCTAAATAAGTCACTCCTAACCCTAAAAGAGCCTGTTGAAGGAGTAACAAACCAGAATGTGTGAACTTTTTGTCTTCAAAATCTAAAACTTAAATTGATCGTCACAAAAATGAAGTATAGGAACACAAACCCCTGCCTCCCCTTTTGTGTGGTGCAGCTGTGTAGTTAATTTAAGCCTGTATGGAAAACTGATCCTGAGTGTAAACAACTGGGCAACTTCACTTCCCTCTCAGAGCTACTCATCTCATCATTAAGTAAGATGTTTGTTCCACTGAATGGTGAAACTGTCTAAAGTGAGAAGATCAGAACAACTTGAAGATTTTGTAGTTCACTGTGATAGAACCTGTCTTTCTGAATTTAAATAAATCAATCATGTTATGTATTTTATACTTTTTACAGCTGTTTCTGCATCATAGTGGCATCTGCCATGGCTTTGATGCGCCATGTTGCCAACTGACTACTAATAATTAATTGACACTGAATTAAAATGCCATGACTATCAACTATATTGTATAAAGAGTAAACAGCTGCTGTTGGGTTCAAACTTCACACCTCTAGTTCTGGTTGTTTGTATTTTTACTTCCACAGAAGAATCACATGATCATCCATGTGGTCACACTTAGATACTGTAGTGTGAGAAAGTACTGCAATTCTGATAAAACCCTTTCACAGCCAATTGGATAAGGTAAAAAATGTATCAGGCTAAAAATAAAATGGCTTAGGAACAGGTTTAGGTTTTTGGAAGTCAGTGACTTCACGTAAAAAATACATTAGTTCCTTTGACAATTACAGTCAAATTATGTACAACTTTTTGTCTTTACTGGCAATCAATTTGTAACAGTAAAAAAATTTGTGTTTGTTGCTGATAATGCGCTCAAGATTTACAAGGAACTCTGTGTGTATCAGATGGTGAAACTGCAAAGCAAAACTAATCCAGTATCTTCTTTAACTTTATTGTAAGTAATTGTCATTTTACCTGAAATTGACTGGCAGCCTCTAGTATTCTCTGAACATTTGAGTGTGAGGAGGGCTCGGCTGGTGTAGTATACTCTAGGAGAGAGCACATGGTTCCACTGTCCAACCCCTTTATTTCCACACGCTCTCATGACTCTCCTTCAGACCACTGCAAAACATTGCCC